CCAGCAAGATCCTGGAGGCCCTGGATGCGGAGACAGACCCGTGCCAGGACTTCTACCAGTACTCATGCGGGGGCTGGATCAAGAGGAACCCGCTGCCCAACGGGCGCTCCAAGTGGAGCACCTTCAACAGCATCTGGGACCAGAACCAGGCCATCATGAAGCATCTCCTAGGTGGGCACCAGGGGGTCAAGGCCACCGGGCGGGTGACCTCCGGGCGCAGGCGGGCAGAGCCCCGGCATCCCCGGGTTGACCCGCAGCCTCCCGCAGAGAACGCCACCTTCAACTCCAGCAGCGAGGCGGAGCGGAAGACGCAGCGGTACTACCTGTCCTGTCTCAAGGAGCAGAGGATAGAGGAGCTGGGCTCCCAGCCCCTCATGGAGCTCATCGACAAGGTGGGTGGCCATCCACATGTGAGCCGAGCTGTCGGGGCTCAGCCCAGCGTGTCTCCTGCTCGGTTCTTCACGTAACCGGGGAGCGGGCAGCCCTCGGGGACAGACCCTATCCCTCCTTGAGGCACCGGGTCTTTCTGCCAGCAGATCGGGGGGTGGAACGTCACCGGCTCCTGGAACCAGACCAGCTTCATGGAGGTCCTCAAGATGGTGTCGGGCACGTACCGGGCAACCCCCTTCTTCACGGTGTATGTGGGTGCGGACTCCAAGAGCTCCAACAGCAACGTCATCCAGGTTGGCACCTTGGCACCGAGGTGTGGCAGGCACCGGGTGGGCACTGGTGGGCACCAGGCTGCCCATGCTGCCCCTCTCTCCTCCCAGGTAGACCAGTCGGGGCTTTTCCTCCCATCCCGGGATTACTACCTGAACAAGACCGCCAACGAGAGGGTGAGGCTGGGCGCCGGGCACCCTGCTGGCAGCAATCCGGGGAAACTCATAGCAATGGGATGTGAGCAGCGCTGGGGCGCACCTGGCACCTGCACCCTGCCCATCGAGGTGGCGCAGTGCCCAGGCACGGTGCCCAGGCAGCGGGTCTGAACCCCCCGGGGAGGTGGGATGAGCTGCAGCTGGGGCTCAGCTGGCGCTCGGGGTCCCGCCAGGTCCTGGCAGCTTTTTAGCTGGGCACACTGCTGGGGGGGACCCCAGACCCCACCCGCCTCCAGATGCAGCAGGTGCTGGACTTCGAAACCCAGCTGGCCAACATCACCGTGCCCCAGGCTGAGCGGCGGGACGACGAGAAGATCTACCCCAAGATGAGCATCACCGAGCTGCCGGTGGGCACGGCCGGGC